CATTAATGGTTTCAATACCATTATATCGCGTTTGTTATCTGTTGATATTAAGTTTGAAGATGAAGTCCAAGCTTTGCTTTTGTTATCCTCGTTACCGGAAAGTTGGTCAGGAACTGTCACTGCCATTAGTGGTTCAGTTGGAACCTCTAAACTCATCTTTGAGGGCATTCGTGACTTCATCCTAGGAGATCTGGAGAATCATCTAGTACTTTGCTAAGCATTGAAGGGAGAGGTAGAAAGACAGAAAGGGGTAATGGCAGAGGTAGATCAAAGTCAAGAAAGAGGAGCCRCTCAAAACCAAGAAAAGACATCCAATGTTGGAAGTGCAAAGAAACTGGGCACTTCAGAAATCAATGCCCTAAACAATCAGATGGAAACAGAGAGGTGAACGCAGCAACTGATGATTCAGACGATGCCCTTATYTGTTGTGTTGAGAATTCAGCAGAGTCGTGGATCTTGGATTCTGGTGCATCATTTCATGCTACTTTCAGCACGAAGATAATGAAGAATCTACGAACAGGTAATTTTGGTAAAGTTCGTTTAGCTGACCATCGCACTCTTGACATCACAGGAATAGGTGACATAGACATAAAGACTTCATTGGGTACCACTTGGACATTGAAGGAYGTTCGAGTCATTCCAAGCCTTAAGAAAATGTTGATTTCTACTGGGCAGTTGGATGACCAGGGATTCAAAGTCATTTTTGGTGAAGGGCAATGGAAGGTTGTCAAAGAAAACCTTGTAATCGCCAAAGGTAAAAAGCAAGGCACCTTATACATGGTCGATGTTCCCGACAGTGAGGTGAATGCAGTGACCAGCGGGATGAAACCATCCAGATTATGGCATCAACTCCTCGGCCACATGAGTGAAAAGGGAATGAAGATGCTCGTTGCCAGAGGCAAGCTCCCAGATTTAAAAAGGGTGGATTCTGAATTCTGTGAACCCTGTGTGCTTGGCAAGAAAAAGAAGGTATCCTTTGCGAAGACGGGTCAGACACCAAAAGCTCAGAAACTAGAGCTTGTTCGCACAGATGTTTATGGACCAACACCAGTTTCTTCCGTAGGAGGATCGAACTACTATGTGACCTTCATCGATGATTCAACACGCAAGGTATGGGTTTATTTTCTTAAAAATAAGTTTGATGTCTTCAACACTTTTAAGAATTGGAAAACCGCTGTTGAATTGGAAACTAACCTAAAAGTAAAGTGCTTGAAGTCGGATAATGGTGGGGAATACATTAGCACAGAGTTCACTGATTATTGTGCTGAACATGGCATTCGGATGATAAAGACGGTTCCAGGCACTCCTCAGCAGAATGGAGTGGCAGAAAGAATGAACAGAACTTTGAATGAGAAGGCCAGGAGTATGAGGCTTAATGTTGGGCTTCCAAAGACGTTCTGGGCTGATGCAGTTAACACTGCAGCTTATCTTATCAACCGATGAATATCAGTACCGTTGGGCTTCAAGATTCCAGAGGAAGAGTGGAAAGGTAAAGCAATCAAGTATGAGCATTTGAAGGTGTTCGGATGCAGTGCCTATGACTTGAAGAAAGATGGTGACAAGTTGGATGCAAAAGCCAAGAAATACACCTTCATTGGATATGGCTCTGATAGTATGGGCTACAGGCTTTGGGATTTTGAAAGCAGAAAAGTAGTCAGAAGTAAACATGCAACTTTCAATGAGGCTGAACTTTATAAAGACAAAAGCACAGTAAACTCAAAAGATCAGAAAGAACAAGTTGAGTTTGAAAGTGATGACATCATAATCAGAGGGCCAGAAGATACTCATGATAGTGGGAGTACTGAGTCTGATTTTCAGAATAACGATGAGTCTGAAGATGTTCAAGAAGACACTGTCAACAGCGAAAGTTCAGAGGATGAAGAAGAACCATCATCTCCGGTACATCCTTAACCAGTTGAATCACACTGGGTCAAGAGATCCACCAGAGTCTCTAGGCCTCCTGAAAAATACAATCCATCAGTCAATTATCTTCTTTTGACTGAGAATGGTGAACCAGAAAGTTATTCTGAAGCTATTAAGCAAAAAGATTCGTTGCAGTGGGAGCGTGCAATGAAAGAAGAAATGGGATATTTGAACAAGAACAAAACTTGGGTTTTAACCAAGCTTCCGCATGATAAAAAGGCGTTGCAGAACAAGTGGGTTTTCAGAATCAAGGAAGAGCATGATGGATCTAAACGGTACAAAGCCCGTTTAGTGGTCAAGGGTTTTCAACAGAAAAGGGGGATTGATTACAATGAGATCTTTTCTCCAGTGGTGAAAATGACCACCATTAGATTGGTTTTGAGTATTGTAGCTGCAGAGCGCTTACATCTAGAGCAACTAGATGTCAAGACAACATTCCTACATGGTGACCTTGATGAGGAAATTTACATCGCACAACCAGAGGGTTTTCAGATTGCTGTTAAAGAAGACTGGGTCTGCAAACTGAAAAGGAGCTTGTATGGTTTGAAACAAGCACCCAGGCAATGGTACCTGAAGTTTGATAACTTCATGGAGAGGGCCGGGTACAGAAAATGTAAAATGGACCATTGTTATGTGAAGAAATTCAAGAGCTCCTATATCATTCTACTTCTCTATGTAGATGATATGTTGATTGCAGGTGCGGATATGAAAGAGATCAKCAAGTTAAAGAAGCAAATGTCTGAAGAATTCGAGATGAAAGACTTGGGTCCAGCCAAACAGATACTCGGTATGAGTATTGCTAGAAACACGAAAGATGGCTCTTTGACACTATCCCAGGAGAAATACATCGGGAAAGTGTTAGAAAGATTCAAGATGAATGATGAGAAGACAAAACCCAGAAACACACCTTTGGGAAGTCATTTCAGGCTTACCAAAGATCAGTCTCCAAGATCAGAGGATGAGAAAGCAGATATGGCTAATGTTCCTTATGCATCTGCTATTGGTAGTCTCATGTATGCCATGGTTTGCACGAGACCAGACATAGCCTATGCTGTCGGGGTTGTTAGTCGCTTTATGTCAAATCCGGGGAGAGAACATTGGGAAGCAGTCAAATGGCTGCTCAGATATTTGAAGGGTAATTCAAAGTTGGGATTATGTTTCAAGGGTAAAGACTCAGTTCTTAAAGGATATACTGATGCTGATTTGGGTGGATGCAAAAAGACATTTAAAAGCACTACTGGGTATATTTTTACAGTGGGAGGAACAGCAGTTAGTTGGATGTCCAGACTTCAGAAAAGTGTGGCCTTATCAACAACAGAAGTTGAATGCATGGCAGTTGCTGAAGCCAGTAAAGAGCTAGTATGGTTAAAGACTTTTCTTGAAGAACTTGGGAAAAAGCAAGCTGATTACTCGTTACACTGTGACAATGAGAGTGCATTGAAACTTGCTAAAAATCCAGTCTATCATGGGAAAACAAAGCACATTGGGATGAGGTATCACTTTGTCAGAGGACTGATCAGTGATGGTACGATGAACTTGAAGAATATCTCAGGTGCAAAGAATCCAGCAGACATGTTCACCAAGTTTGTGACGCTGGATAAGCTGAAGTTCTGTATGACTTTAGCTAGCCTTCAGGAATAATGTTGAGAAGGCAGGTGGCAACTAGGGGAGCTCAAGCTCGGTTGGTGTTTACAGAAGTTCAGAGGAGTGCAGGTGAACGTGTTTCGAAGCCTCCAAGTGGGAGATTGTTGGAATGTAGGCTTCGGCCTACTAAGTTAGACAAAAGGGAGGAGGCATAAAGTAAGGAGCCGTCCCTAGCCCAAAAGGAGCCGGCCCTAGTCTCTACCCTAGTTTCCTTGATTAGGAGATAACCCTAATTATGTTTGTCTATATATATTAATCTCATTGTACTTGTAAACATTTGTAGCACCTAAATAAAGAAAAACCTAGTTGCCCCCATGGACTAGCACGATCAATCTGATCGTGTGAACCACGTAAATTCTTGTGTTCTTCTCTTGTTTTTGGGTTGTGCGTAGGGTTGTGCGTATTGCGTGTGTAACGTTTGTCCTAACATAACTTGTCAATTACGTACAACGGGTGACACCACAGTGCTAGCAGGGGCAGATGTTGGCCTTTTTATTTGGGCTTATGGTTTATAAGATTTGGTATTGAAAGAGCAAGGATAAGAAATATGCTAACGATGGACCAAGGCATAAAACAGAAACTACTATAACATAGTTGGGAATAAAGCAGTGGTTTGATTAGATCATCTGGTTAGGTATACATATTGATATCTAAAAATACGTGAAACAACTAAGGGGATAAGATGCTATTCATAATTTCAAGGGTTCTTATAGGACTTTATAGAGGCACTCGTATAAATACAAATTACCCAATCCTTCTCTCCAGCATTGAGTTTTATGACTCGCCAACTCGGATTATATAGCATGGTTGATCAATTTCAATTATCACAAACGGATACACCAGTGGCATATTTGCACTCCATAAACAGAATTCTCATTCAGGAGAAGACAATGCCAACAGAGACAAAGAGAAATCATAACAAAAAGACAAATTATTGTTATTTTAAGGTCAGACCAACAAGAGAAATGAAATGACAGAATGAGACATGCATTCAGCCGTGAGAGAAGTTCTACCAGAAAACAGAACTAAATTTATTTATAAAAATACATAGATCAATGACGTGAAGTTTCTATTGTTACTTTATATATATAACATATCCTTTTGTATTTTTCTGCTGCTTCAAGGTTTCAACTATTCCAGTTCACATAAGTCTCTCCAATCCACCTTTCTTTCTCGTGTTCATTATTGTAACTAAGCACATACATGTTCCCAGACACTGACAGATGAATAGGCAGATAATAGTATTTATTCTAAGAGTGGTTCTATATATAAGGAGAAAAGGTAATAATATTGGCTTATGAAGCATTTGAGTTTATCAAAAGATCCATCAATTCTTAAATTAAAATACGACCCAAGCTATAATTAGAGGAAATTCGAGCAAATTAATCATAAAAACGGCTGGATCTTAGAAGTATAAATGACTTCTCAAAAGTTGAAAATGAAAACAATTATATAAAGCTATTAAAAAACAGCCCGCATATATTTGGTCATAGAGTGCAAATCTAGAACGCTGTTTTTGGTTATGCAGAAACATTTGGAGGAGCATTCTACCTTTTGGCGCATCCGTCTCAAAATAACGATAATTGAAATGTAGTGTTGGTGCAAAAGGGTTCTTTGGGTGTAAAACCTGCCCAAAAAAAAATAAGGAACGACCTTATTAAACAAAACATCTATCTCATAGCACAATAATGAATAAAGAAATGAAAACGGGCGGCATCGCCGTATGCTCCAGTTTTGTTGCCCTGGTTATATCCTGGAGTACTTCTAATGATCCAGCACTGACACATCATAGTGGATGGACAATTAAAGAGCAGCGGCAATAATTAACATCCAAATACAAAATAGGAAGAAGAAAGGGAGAAGAAAATGAAGAAAATAAATCAAATGACCTACAAAGTAGCTAAAACATCATACTAGCCAAATCAATAGTTTGTGTGCTAAAAATCTGCTCTTTGACATATGCAATAACCAATTTAAAAATTTTGGAGTCGTTCCAATATAAAGGCAAAGTAACTGTAACACATTAAACTAGCAACTAAAATAAAATCATAACAATTACATTTAGGTACAGTTCAATATGCCCGTATAACTACCATAAAGTTCAAAAATAGCAGTTACACATTGTTTATTAATATGGACTACAACTCTCTCACTCAGTTTGCGCCCAGAATTGAGGCATAATTGGCGGTAGAAATGGCTGTAAAATTCTTAGGAAAAGAACTACAAATAACTTGATAAGGTTGCTTACATTACATAATTGTAAAAGTTACCCATATCACTCTTTGGAAAATGATAAAAGTTGCCTATGTTACTCATCGGAAGGTGAACTCCCCATCTAGCCATTATAACCACTATCAGACTCATTTTGTTTGTAGTAAGCTGTGATGAACCTTGGCAATAATTTAGGGGCTGTTTGGTTCGTTTTCCATTAACTCCTGAATGAATAAAGTTGGTTGTGTGGATTAATCTATGTAGACAAGGAAGGTTTTTGTTAGGGAGGGTTTTTTCGTAGATGGAAGGAGCGTGTTTTTTAATTGGGAGGGGCAAGTTTGGAAAAAACTCGGGTTCCTACATAAACCTCCCCACTAGAATTTTATTGAATAAGCCACTATCTAAATCATTAAGCCACTACCAAACAATCATGTACAGCTGACCAAATAAGTTGCGAGTCCCATTAAGCTCATTTAGCTGTTAATAAACAAGCAAGTTCTGTATGGATAAAGTTGTATTTGTTAATTAATCTGTCTGTATAGATAGGAACGTTTTTGTTTGGGGGGTTTTTTATAGATGGAACTATGGAAGGAGTGTGTTTTTTAATTGGGATGTGTAGGTTCGGAAAAAACATGTTTTCTGCATAAAGAAAGCCCTAGAAGCTTACTGAATACGACACAGTCATGTTGGAAATGTTAGTGAGGTTGGAGGTTTTCCTCCATCCCACATTGGTAGGTAGAAAAATTTTAGAGAGCCTAATAAGGCTTTCCTCTCAATTGGTCCTTGAACAAGTTGTTGGACTCATGGTGGAGGTCACGAGTGGAAAGTCCGACACACACGCACTCATGGTTGGGGTCATGAGTGGAAGGTCCAACATACACGCGCGTGCATGGCCGTGGCCGAGGGCGCGGGATTCGTGAAAGTGGCACGAGGAGGTACATGCCGCATCAAAGCAGAAGGAGCCTCTCCCCGAGCTCCCCCGAGTATCTTTTTAGTACAAATTATAGAGATAGATAATTACTGTTTATTAATAAACTATTAATTATCTGTTGGGTTTTATCACGATTTATCTGATTTTATAAAACTTCAATTATTAATATTAATAAAATAAAACGTGGTAATTTCAGTTAGAGACTTAGTCTCTATCTGATCCCGATTCTTGGGGAGGAAGCCGTGATCTTGGGGTGGTTTAACCGGTACACGGAAAATCATCTGATCCCTTTCTCCCTTTCTACTACCATCTATTATGCGTCCACCTTGCTTTTAGTTTCGTTATCAAAGTTGTTGATAAACGGAACACGTTACTGCATCAAATCCTGGGGCTTTACAACTAGTAGACTCACAACATATTAAAGTGGTCGTATAAAACCTTTAAGGACAGGTTTCTACTATGCAGATCTCGATTCAACTTCATTTCAAACAAATTGGTTTTAATTTTCGTGTATTGCATTTACCTTTCTGTTCACTAAGTGGACAACTCTGCTTCTACTCCTTTCTTTCATTGAATCTATCGCAAATGATAGATTCAATCAGTGTGGTGGTAACTGGTTTCGGGTTTTGATTCCAGATAATAAAGTTGCCATCTCTATTAATAAAGAGTTCAACTTTATTGTTTAATTTATCTTTTGAATAAAAGAGTTAAACTTTATCTATAAAGATTCAATCTTTATTTTTTTTATCTATCTAATCGTTATTAATTTTCAACAATCTTAAAGGTTGTATATCAATGGACTCCGGAAATTACCGAATCTTGAGCCAAGACATGATGAAACTTGAAAAGTTCGATGGGACCAATTATACCCGTTGGGCCGACATGGTCAAATTCATGTTAATGGTTGTGAAGTTGTACTATGTTTTGGACCCAGATCGCCCTCCCATTCCTGAAAATCCGGTTCCTCAACCGGGAAAAGAACCAGATAGAAAAAGAATAGCCGACCTTGAAAAGATGAGGCTTATCCGCAGAGAGGAAGAAACCCTGGCTTGCGGACACATTAAAAATGACTTGTTGGATTGGCTATATGATCTATATTCTCCGATTACGTGCCCAAGAGAACTTTGGAAAGCATTGGAATTCAAGTATAAGTCACAAGAAGATGGTACAAACAAGTATCTTGTGTCTCAATACTTGAGATATATCAAATGGTAGATGAAAAACCAATTATGGAACAAGTGCATGAGCTCCAAGTTTTAGTAAACAAACTGAAACCACTTTCCATACCTCTTCCTGAAATTTTCCAAGTAGGGGCAGTAATAGATAAAATGCCCCCATCCTGGAAAGATTTTTAAAAAAAAAGGATGCACAAATTTCAATATTATTCTTTGGATAATTTATTAAAACATCTTCAAATCGAGGAAGAGGCACGTAATCGGGATAAAAGAGACAAGTCTCTGTTGACTGCTAACAGCGTGCAGGCTTCGGGATAAGAGAGGCAAGTCTCTGTTGAGTGCTAACAGCGTGCAGACTGTAGGCAAAGGAAAGGGAAGGGCTGGAGGTCCAAATAAAAGGTGGAACTTGGGTCCACAAAAGAAGAGCTTCAAAAGATCGGGTCATCAATCCAATCCGAGTCAGCATTTCAAAAGGGTCGGAAAATGTCACCTCTGCAGAGAGACCGGACACTATGCTCGTGAGTGCAAGCACAGAAAGTCCGGAACACCTGTTGCAAACTCTATTGTAGAAATTCAAAACCTTGTGGCAAATCTTCACATAAAGGTGATTGACATGATTTCAAAGGCCGCAACAAGAATTGTGGCCGGAAGAGGAGGTTGGTACTTGGATTCTAGAGCCACTATTCATGTGTGTGACTCCAGGTCTAAGTTTGTTAAAAATATGGACCAGTTCGAGAGGGTAAACAAGTGATAGTGACTAACAATGGTCGTCTGACGTCGTTGGAATGGACACTGTGCTACTGAAATTCACTTCTGGAAAGACCGTCACTCTCAGAGATGTTCTTCACATGCCTTCTATCAATAAGAGCCTCAGTTCTGCTAGCAAGCTCGATGAAAATGAGTTTGGAATAAACATTGAGGCAAGAAAGCTCGTGATCTACAAAAGAAAGACCTTTATTGGAAAGGGATACTATCAGCTGGGTACGTATCACCTAAATCTGAGTGACGATGATCGTCGAGGACCTAGTGAATCTGTAGGTAGCAATGTGTTAGCTACATGTGATGAAGTTTTTTATTTTTACATTTCTACAATTGATGTAATTCCCAATGTTATGAATAAAATTGATTCTTTTGGAGTATTTTGCTTGTTCTATTTCTTTATGGCACAAACGTCTAGCTCATACAAATGTAAGAAATATTGAAAAAAAATGCAAAATAAAGGGTTAATCAAAATTAACAACAAAGACTTTGGAAAATGTAAAATTTGTGTAAAATCAAAATTTACAAAGACACCTTTTCCATCAGTTAAACGGAACACATCAATTTTAGAGTTGGTCTATCCTGGTATTTGTAAATTGAATGGAATACTTACATGAGAAGGTAAAAGGTATTTCATTACATTCTGCGATGACTTCAGTCCGTTTTTACATGTTTATGTACTACATTTAAAAGACGAAGCTTTTGAAGCCTTTAAATTATATAAAGTTGAAGTAGAAAATCAACTCGGAAAACGAATCAAAATACTTCGATCAGACAGAGGTGGTGAATACTTCAATAGAGAGTTCAATACATTCTACGCAGAGAATGGTATCAAACATGAACACACCTCACCATTTACTCAACAAAATGGTTTGGCGGAACGAAAGAACTGAACCCCTATTAACATGGTCAACTGTATGTTGAACCAATTGGGTCTGCCAAACAATCTGTGGGAAGAAGCTTTGGTAACTGCCTGCCATATTCATGACCAAATCACTAGTCGTGTGATTCTAACCAGCCCATATGAGCTTTGGAAAGGAAGGAAACCAAACTTGAACTATTTTAGAGTCTCGGGTTGTATTGCCTACTATCGAACCCCTGGTCCAAAAAGATCTAAATTGGGAGCTTGTGCTGTTAAAAGCATATTCGTTGAATATGCGAGAAACAACAAGGCTTATAGATTATTGGACAAAGAATCAAAAGTTATAGTAGAATCCAGGGATGTGGAATTCTTTGAAGATAAGTTTCCAGAAGATGCTGAAAGATCAGAACCAACGTTGGCCTCTAATCCTCCTTGTTCATCTCATGATAGTTCAAAAACCTCAAATAAGGTTGACGAACCACGAAGAAGTACAAGAGCGAGAAAAGAGAAAAGATTAGAAAATAATTTATTCTCGTACTTGGAAGAAGGGACACAAAAGAAAGTGACAAGGGAGGTTGTTTTCTCTATCAATATTGAAGATGATCCTAAGACATATAAAGAGGCTATGACTTCAAGGGATGCTCCACTATGGAAGGAAGCAATAAATGATGAAATGGACTCTATCTTGGGAAACAAAATTTGAGAATTGGCTTATTTTCCTACGGGGGTGAAACCTGTGGGTTCCAAATGGATATTTAAAAGGAAAATGCACCCAGATGGTTCAATATCATCCTTTAAGGCTAGATTGGTGGCTAAAGAGTACAGACGGAAAGAGGGAGTCGATTATTTCGACACCTATGCTCCAGTTGCTAGAATCAGTTCTATTCAAACTCTTATAGCAATTTCAGCCATAAAAGGACTATATATTCATCAAATGGATGTAAAAACAATCTTCTTAAATGGTTATTTAAGCGAGGAGGTTTATATGGAGCCACCTGAAGGGTTTGTAGTACCCAGACAAGAGAATAAAGTGTGTAAACTTGTTAAATCTCTATCCGGGTTAAAACAAGCTCTCAAACAGTGGCAGGAAAGATTTGATACGACTGTCACATCTTTTGGGTTCCGGCATAATGGGGCCGACAGGTGTATTTACTCAAAATGCACGATAAGATACATTGTGGTAATTTGTCTTTATGTTGATGATATGTTGATCATCGGAACCGATCTAGTAGGTATCCTTGAAAGTGAAGGGTACTTATCCTCGAACTTTAAGATGAAAGATCTTGGAGAAGTAGATACATCCTTGGGATAAAGATAAAAAGATCAGCATCTCAAATCTCTAAGTCAATCCCACTACATAGAGAAGATACTGACCAAGTTTGAACATCTGAATATAAAGGAGTTTAACACTCCATTTGATTCAAGTGTGAAACTCGATAAAAACTCTGTAGAGCGGTGGCTCAACTAAAGTATGCTAGTGCAATAGGATGCATGATGTATGCAATGCATTGTACTAGACCGGATATTGCTTTTGTTGTGAGTAAACTGAGTCAATATACTAGCAATCCGGGTCCAAATCACTGGAAAGCAATCAGTAGAGTACTGGGTTACTTGAAAAGATCCAGGGATCTAAAGTTGACATACACTACACATCTAGGAATCTTGGAGGGATATTCTGATGCCAGTTAGATAGATCACTCAAGTGGGTGGATTTATACTCTTGCTGGAGGAGCGATTTCTTGGACGAGCAAGAAACAAATGTATCGCCCATTCGACTATGGAAGCCGAATTCATTGCCCTAGCGGCGGCAGGCAAAGAGGCCGAATGGATTAAAGATTTGTCAACTGATATCCATTTATGCCTCGACCGACTCCTTCGATTCCATGTATTGTGACAGTGAGGCTACACTGTCAAAAGTATAAAATGCCATGTATAATGGGAAGTTGCGACATATAGGTCTCCAACACAATTACGTGAGACAATTAATTGATGATGATACCATTAGTATTGTGTTTTGTCAAGTCTTGTGGGAACTTGGTAGATCCACTGACCAAGCCTCTAACGAGAGACTTGGTAGGGTCAACTACCAGAGACATAGGCCTGAAACCACATAGAATCAGTTAGTGATGGAAACCCAACTTGAATGTAGTGCTCCTATCTACCAAGTTTAAAGGCTAACAAGTCACTTAACTGATAGAAGGTACTATCAACTGATAGATCCATGTAAGGTAAAAGATAGTACGCCGTTGTCGAGAATAAGGTTGAGTCAATCTCTTAACAAAGTTTATAGGCATCTTAGCAACAAAGATATTATAGAACTTTGCCTATATGACTAAGAGGTAGTGCCACCTTAAACGAAAAGTAGTGGTTCCTCTTCTAGTAAGTCATGAAACAGGGTTTAGCGAATGGCCATATTTGCGCTCAGTGAGAAAGCAAGTATGATAGGTGATGTGTGTAAGTAAGACAGAGTGGTCACAAGATTCAAGAATTAAATCCTAAGGATACAATTGAACTGATCCCTTCTTGCATACTTACATCAAACAAGGTTTAATCTCATAACACCACTATAACATTATCTGCTGTGAATGTCAGAAAACTTTCCAACCTGGTGGGGGATTGTTGGAAATGTTAGTGAGGTTGGAGGTTTTCCTCCCTCACACATTGGTAGGTAGAACAATTTTAGAGAGCCTTATAAGGTTATCCTCTCAATTGGGCCTTGAACAAGTTGGTGGAGTCATGGTGGAGTCATGGTGGGGGTCATGAGTAGAAGATCCAACACACACGCGCACGCGTGGCCTAGACCAAGGCAGAGGGTGCAGGCGCGGGATTCATGTAAGTGGCGTGAGGAGGCGTACTTCGCCCGCCGCATCTAAGCAGAAGGAGCTTCACACGCCGCATCTGAGCAGAAGGAGCCTCGCCCCGAGCTCCCGAGTATCTTTTTAGTACAAATTATAAAGAGAGATAATTACTGTTTATTTATAAACTATTAATTATCTGATGGGTTTTATCACGATTTATCTGATTTTATAAAACTTTAATTATTAATATTAATCAAATAAATCGTGGTAATTTCATTTAGGGACTTAGTCTCTATCTGATCCCAATTCTTGAGAAGGAAGTCGTGATCTTGGGGTGGTTTAACCAATATAAACACTGGGTTAAACATATTGGTTAAACCACCTCAAAACACACACCGAAAATCATCTGCTCCCTTTCTTTCTCGAGTTTCTGCTTCAAACAGTGCTATACTACCATCTATTCTGCGTCTACCTTGCTTTTAGTTTCGTTATCAAAGCTAATGATAAACGAAACACGTTACTGCATCAAATCCTGGGGCTTTGCGACTAGTAGATTCACAGTATATTAGAGTGGTCGTAGAAAACCTTTAAGGACAGGTTTCTACATGCAGATCTCGATTCAACATCACTTCAAGCAGGTTGGTTTTAATTTTCGTGTATTGCATTTACTTTTATGTTCACTAAGTGGACAACTCTGCTTCTACTCCTTTCTTTCATTGAATCTATCGTGTATGATAGATTCAATCAGTGTGGTAGTAATAGGTTTGGGGTTTTGATTTCGGATAATAAAGTTGCCATATTTAATAATAAAGGGTTTTAGTTTATTGTTTAATTTATCTTTTGAATAAAAAGAGTTAAACTTTATTTATAAAAATTCAAACTTTATCGTTTTTATCTATCTAATCGTTATTAATTTTCAACAAGTCATGTATAGTTAACCCAATAAGCTGCGAGTCCTCAATGACCTGCTAACAAACAGTAGACAATTTGTTGGCAAGTTAACTTTCAAGAAACTGTGCCCCTACTTGAGATTAGCAAGAGATGAAACCATTGAGTCATTCCCTTTGCTCCATGAAGGAAGAAAAAATGACAAAATAGATATGGTTCCACTTTTGATGTCAAAAGGCTTACTTTCCCATCATCTGAACTGCAGGTTTTTACCCAAGTACCTAAGAACACCTGGATTCGAACCTGTCTTAATAGGGTTTGGCTACTTCCATATCTAAAACATAATATGGAGTTTGCTAAGGTCTAAGACTAACGGTTGTCAGTATTTATGGTAAGATTTAACGTGATTAGGGTTTGAGATCAGATTCAATGAGGTTCTGTATGCAGTATAATTATCGAAATTGGAAGATTTACTTACGGAGCTGATTCCGGCAGCAAAAAATGGAACAGGTTCGGGCTTAAGGTTCCCATTATCTGCAGCATTTGCAGGCTTGGCGGCTCTATATGCTTCTGGGGGCATCACACCATATACCACAGACACATTGACTCCAGCCTTTTCCCAAACGCCACTGTCCTGCAAAACCCTGCTAATCCCACCGCCTCCTCCAGGCCTTGACCACACATCCTCCTTAAACTTCCCACCTCCATCAGCCGCCTCAATGGCAGCGCAAACACTATCCTGCGCCTCCCTTATCATCTTCTCGAAGCGTACTCTGACCGAATTCGCCCCCACGTCTTGGTCGGACGAAACACCATCGGATTCCCGAAGGAAAGTGTCGGGACGGTGAGTCTCCGCTGTCTCCTTTTCGATCATACGCGATGAAGCTCGAATCAGCAGATTTCTGGTCTTCTTGGGTTTTCTACGATTAAAAGATATGGCCGTAGAGGTAGTAGTGATGAGGGCAAGGGTTGATGGTGAAGGATTGGAAGTGGGTAATTGGAATGCAGAGGTGGAAGGGAATGCAGAGACCATGGTGGCCATTGTCGCCATTGTTTGGTATTTCAACCGGCTTTAATGGTGTTGATGATGTAAAGATAGAAAACGCTATCCCTTTCGAAATTACATGTGGGGTACCCTGGAATTCAAATGTAATTAAATATAATACTACTCTCTTGGTCCGATCCAATTAGCTCGGTGCCCATAGAAATTCATGGTGTCTGGTATTTTGTCTTCCATTAAAGTATCGATCTTTTGATATATAAAGCCCTAGAAAAATCTTGGTGATCGTATCTTGTATTCTCATCCTATGTGGTGTTGTTTAAACTAGGAGGTTTCAATTCTTTCGGTAAATTCTTTTGAACATAACTTTTGTAACTATAATGTTATTTATTTATATTATCTTTTATAAGATCGTTTTCTCTTGTTATCACAATCGTTAATCTTCTATCTATTGTCCTACTCGATTTGGAGGCCCATCTATGTTGCCCTACCCACAAATGTCCTTCCAGGGAAGATGTTATGGTCGGGGGATGATGCTTTAGGTTTGCGGTGACTACGGCGGCATTGGATAAATATATGAATTATACTATCATAGCAAGAAAGCGGAGATCGCCTCCCTCGTGCTGCTAAGGTCTTCAATGTCTATAAATTTTTCAAATCTAGATTGACATTTATATCTACGCAAGTTGCGATTTTGATGTTTTGTGTTTGATAACTACGACTTAAGTTTTGGAGCAACCGAGTGGCCAATCCCCTGTTTTCTCTAAGGGTAGTAGTTATTTTTATCCACATTACGTTATTCATCTTCCAGTGATGGTTAAAATGAGAATCTCTCTTGGTTTTTTTCTTCCCTTTTTTTGTTGGGACGATTTGCATCTAAACGTTTAAAAATGCCTTTTGAATAGCAAGATTCATCTTTCTTATCGCCATCAATATAACAAGATCTCACTATCATTTCTACCATATCCTTTAGGTCCAATCATATATTAATCATTTATGTGAGCCTGAAGAAGTTTCTTTTTCAAAATGCGTCATTTTGGGGTGACATCTTTTATATTTGTAATAAAAAGAACCATATCATCATCAGTGATCTACTATTGTCTAATATTAAGATCATGTGTAAGTGTATATGCCCAAAAGCCGATCATCAGATAATTTTGTTTGGACGTTGTGTGATATTTATTAAATGAAAGGCATTGCCTAATTATTATGTTTACATATTATTCAGTGTAATATCTAAAATAATAACATTAGGATAATGTATTCTAAAATGTTCCTAGTCAAATATTAATTTAGGTTTAGGTTGAATTAACATGGTACGACTACTATGGGAACCCAGATCCTCAATTAAAGTAATTAAGTGCTAAAATTAATGTAAGCGGAAGCAACAAAGCACTAGTCACTATTTTAGACTAAGAGATGATGAATATGAAGGAGAAAATAGAAATAGTAGTAAGATTACCATCGTATAAGATTACCATCGTCATCATGTATATTGATTGGCAAACTGAGAATATAGAATTACACCAAGAACACACAGTAGTGTGTGTGAAAAAACACTCAGAATGCAAAAAGCTCTCTCAATAAGATGATAATTCTATCAAAAAGTGTACAAAACCCTAGAAAAGAATTCCTATTGATAGCCTAGAAAAGGAAAGTCAATACTTTCTCCAATAGTTGATCTCCACGTGTAAAGGAGAAATAACCGCTTCCTGTATACATGGCAGAATATGATAGGCAAGGGCACTTGAGAGATCTTCACTTGGGCAAACAATACAAAGTTGGACCAAATGCTTTGCATGCATGGTGCAAAGGCTTTGTATAGTAGGACCAGAGGCTCTGCATCTTTGAGTATTTGTCTTTTTGCTAGTGGCTCTGTATCTGCGATCATTTTGGTTCTGTCCTGTGTTCAATCAGCTTCTTATGCAGAAGTGCTCTCGCTCAGGACTTRGTTTCCTTTTACAAGACTTTTACAGCAAGAAATAAGTCTAACAATCTCCCCCTAAGTGTTGTAAAAAGAAATTTTCAAAAAGAAAACTACACTAAAAAGCAAGAGGCCAACATGGTTCTATGTAAAGGACTTCATTAGCTAGAAATAGAAGGTACAAGAAAAAAATTTACAAAACATCTAGCTAAAACATTGAAGGATCATTCATATAGATTTTGTGATATTTTTTTGATAAGGTCTCTAAAATCTATTGTCTTTTGTATGCATCGGATCACTTCAGTGGCAGGTTCTCTAGTACAAACTCTCTTCCACTTCATTTATGAATCTCTTGCTGCAGCGAACTTAGAGTACTTAGGGAGCACTTGAAGCTCTCTGACACCCTAAAGAACAATTTGTCTATATGCTCATTTCTATAGATGAAGCCTAACTCTGGTTCAGTGACTATGGATGCCAAAGGAACTGCATGCAGATTAGCAAGAGATTCATTTGGTGCTGTAGATAGAGAGTTTGTTAGGTTCTAATTATGTATTGTATTCAAGTTGTTTTGTTGTATTTACCTTTTAGATAGAAATAGGTAGGTTGTAACTCTTAGAACTTAGAACTTGTAATCGTGTAACCTATGAAGTAAATATAATCTTAAGCTTTGAAGAAATTCTCTCTCTACATTTCTAATTCTGCCATTGATGAATTATATGATCTTGATGTTATGTTGAATGATTGATTAAACTAGGTTTATCAATTAGAATCAGAGAAGAATCGATTCAATTTTCATTCGATACGATCATCTTGTTGGTCCCAGCTTGATCAACAAGACTTAATAGATAACAATTTGTAGAAGGGGGAGATGAATACAAACATAGAAACTTTCACTTTTAAAAATTGTATATTTATTAAATGAAAGGCATTGCCTAATTATTATGTTTACGTATTATTCAGTGTAATATCTAAAATAATAACATTAGGATAATGTATTTTAAAATGTTCCTAGTCAAGTATTAATTTAGGTTTAGGTTGATTTAATATGGTACGACTACTATAGGAACCCAGATTCTCAATTAAAGTAATTAAGTGCTAAAAGTAATGTAAGCGGAAGCAACAAAGCACTAGTCACTATTTTAGACTAAAAGATGATGAATATGAAGGAGAAAATAGAAATAGTAGTAAGATTACCATCGTNTTTGGATTTCCAGGTTAGGACCTTATTTCGGAATCTTCATTAGAAAACTAAGTCTTTTAGGATTAACCTTATCTTTGGATTTCCAGGTTAGGACCTTATTTCGGAATCTTCATTAGAAAACTAAGT